TAACATCTATTATATATATATATATATATGTGTGTGTGTGTGTGTGTGTGTGTGTGTGTGTGTGTGTGTATGTATGTATATAATGGAGATCAATGGGTTGCCTGACAAGTTATTCAATATAGTTGTCCTTATTTTAGGTGAACTAATCTTGCAGAAGGGTACTAAGAGTACACAATCATGAAAGAATAGGCTCCTCAATAAATAGTATTGAGAAAAACAGATACCCACATGCAGAGAAATGAAATTGGAACCCCAGCTCACAACACAGGTGAAAACCAACTCAAAATGGATTAAAGTCTTCTCAACTTAAAAAGCAAATCTCCCTGTTATTTTAGCCTCAGGATAAGTTTATTCGGGAAAAGTCAAAAGAATTGCAGTCCAGGTTGTGCATGCTATGGTGAGCCATAGGAAAATTCAGCAAACGAAGGAGGGGAGCTGCCTTTATAAAGGAAAAACGGGGAGTAGGGAGAGGCTGTTCTAGATGAAAATCCATTGGAAAAATGAAACAGTTGAGGGCGGCAATAGCTTTTCATTGGCTGTTCTGTGGAGTTTTTCACTGGCCAGGAGAGAAAAATCTCCCTTCGATAGTAAAATAGTTTTACTTCCTGTGGAAGATGCAGGCTTCCTCTCTTCCGTTTTTGGTATAATTGACAATGCATGATAGGGAATGAGAGCTCCACCTACAGGCCTTCCAGACTCCAGATTGGTTAATATTTGTTTCATTAATTTCCACAGGCATGAACTTAAGACCTGAAACTATAAAACTACCAGAAGAAAACATAGGTGAAAAGCTTCTGACATCTATTTGGACAATGATTTTTTTGGGGGGATATAACACTGAAAGCACAGGCAAGAAAACCAAAAATAGACAAATGGGATTGCATCAAACTAAAAAGCCTCTGCACAGTGAAGGAAACCATTAACAACATGGAAAGGCAATTTGCAGAATGGGAGAAAATATTTCCAAACCATATATCTGATAAGGAGTTAGTTTTCAAACTATATCAGGAACTCGTATAACTCAATGCAATAATAATAATAATAATAATAATAATAATAATAATAACCCAATTTAAAAATGGCCAAAGGATCTGAATAGGAATTTCTCAAAAGAAGACATCCAAATGGCCAATCAGTATATGAAAAGGTGCTCAACCTCATTAATCATCAGGAAAATGCTGAGCAAAACCACAATATCTCCTCACACCTGTTACAATAGCAACTACCAAAAACAAAAGAGACAACAAGTGCTGGCAAAAATGAGGATGGAAAGTTGTGTACTGTTGGTGGGAAGGCAAATTGGTGCAGACATTTTGGAAAACAGTATGAAGGTTCCTCAAGAAATTAAAAACAGAACCACCGTATGATCCAGAAATCCTGCTTGCGAGTATATTTCCTAACTAATGAAATTAGGATATCAGAGAGATATCTGCACTCCTATGTTCATTGTAGCATTATTGATAATAGCCAAGATATCGAAATAACCTAAATGCCCATCAACGGATGAATGGATAAAGAAGATGAGGTGTATATATACAATGGAATACTACTATTCATTCTTTAAATAGAAAGAAATTCTGCCATTTGTGACAACATGGATGAACCTGGAGAACATTATGCTAAGTGAAATAAGCAAGATAAAGACAAATAAAACATAGTTTCATTTACACGTGGAGTCTAAAATAGTCAAACTCATAGAACCAGAGTGGAATGGTGGTTGCCAGGGGCTGGTGAAAGGGAGAGATGGGGAGATGTTGGCCAAGAGGTGCAAAGTTTCAGTTACGAAGATGAATGAGTGGTGGAGATCTAAGGTACACTCATGGGACTACAGTTAACAATACTCTTCTGTGTACTTGAAATTTGCTTGGAGGGTAGATCTTAGGTTTTCTCACCACACATGCAAAAAACGGTAACTCTGTGAGGTGATGGATGTGGAAGTTAGCTTGATTATGCTGATTATTTCACAATCCATACACATATCAAAACATCATGTTGTACACCTTCAATATAAACAATTTTTATTTGTCAACTATACCTTAATAGAGATGAAAAAAATTGTTTCATGTAATAGATGTGTGCATGTGTGCAACTGTGTGTCCATGAGCGTGTGTGTGTGTGTTTGTAGAATTTTCCTTTACTCGTCATTCCTTTAGTCACCCTTGCATCTCACTTTTTCCATTTTGGGCTCATTGCTTGCCTAACTCAACTGCATCACTTAGTATTCTTTTGGCTCAGTGGGAAAATAGTAAAATATCTAAGAACTTGAAGATCCAGAAATGCCTTCTTTCACTCTCGTTCTCTTTATCAAGTTACTTGGAAACATTTTCTTATTTCAAATAAAGTGTAGGGTTCAAAGTGCTAGGAGACAAAAATCCATCAAGGATCCATCCCCCTAAAGCTCTTCTTGTCTCTCATGAAAACATGGCCCCACGTGGTGGGTTTAACCTGTGAGATTCAGGTCGGAGTCTCCTGCTTGGGGACTTGCCCCTGCTGACTGTTTCTCCTTTGTCCCTTAAAAATAATTTGGCTCCATATACAATTCTCCACAGACTCCTAATTCCTGGAAAGTATTTCTCCAATCTCTTCTGGCATCTCTTTTTCTATGGGGGAAGTCTGGTCCCAAGAGCTTGTCATTCTATTGATGGTTATTTGCATTTTCTTTAGGAAATAATTTTAGGACTTTTCATAGGGCTCCAGGACAGTCCTCCTCAAATTTTTCTTTTGAGTTGAAATTCACGTAAAAGAAAATTGACCATTTTAAAGTGTACAATTCAGTGTAAGATATATATATATATTTAAATCTACCTTCACTTTCTTCATTTACCTAAAGGGTCAAGACAAAAATGTCATTTTTAATTATATGCCTCCTAGCACTTAGTCTTTCCTCATCTCTGTAAAAAGTTCAATTCTTTATCTCTTGAGCTCTTGCTAGACATCATTTCCCTTCTTTCCCCTGACACTTACAAAAATTATGACATTGGTCCTCCTCATTCTGTTACCCTTGAATCTTAAATTTCCATGTCTTGTCTCTCTGCATGGCATTCTGTAAAATTCCCTCATTATTACATTCCATTTTCATAATTGGCCTTAAGCTGCCTTGTCCATGAGGGATGAATTTTTTTAATGTCTTAATTCTACTGGATTTCTCATCTCTAAAATTTCTTACTCATTAAAATAGTTTCTTATTCTATGAAAACGATCCGTGTTATTGCATCAAAAATTCAATTTCTCCCTTTATGTTACAGATATTTAAACTCACAATTTAAAATTACTCTCCTATTTTCCTATTGACCCTATTTCTTGCATATGACAATCCCATTAATCAGTAGCTTGTTTCTCACAGCATGTTCATCATGATTAGGACAACCCGACTGTCCATTCTTCTTAGAAGGCTCTGCTCCCACACACCTGATCTTCCAGAGAGGGTTTTCCCAGGGCTGTCCTGGATTCAGGTTGGCAATGGGGAACTGTTGAAGCTGCTCCTGCCCCATGGCATCCAGTCTCTCAAACTTAGCACCTGCTCAGGGTTGTGCCTGGCAGGGATGGCCCAATGGGAGCCTCACATTCACATGTGGGCCAGATGCCTAGGACTGAAAATACTGGATTCAATCTGTTTCAGGCCACACAGTGGAGATTGCTCAGTGCTGACCACGGGCTCTGGGCAGTGGGAAGATATTTCAGTGCCCACCTAGAAACATAGAGAAGGGGGAGCCACAGCTTCCAACCTTCACCTGGAGCCCTGACCCTTCCCTTCTTGTGAGAACCTGGGATCACTTTCTGCGTCCACACAGATGACCTCCCCACCAGGACTCCTTGATGGTCTCAGGCACCAGTGGCCATTCAGCTTTCTTCTCTATGCTTTGCTATGGTTCCCTCTCCATCTTTGGAACTTTGTTTATCTTTTTTGCATTTGTGAGTGGCTACGTATTTCAGAAATATTGTAATTTACATTTATCAGCGTTAAGAGCAGAAGAGAGATCTTGGGTGGGAACAGCAATCATCCACTTGACTGTGGAGTCTGAATCCATGATTCCTTCCTGGTCCAACCCAGCCATGTCTTAACCTGGCCTTGAAATTGATTTATCCCTCTCATGAACCCAACACCACTGGCCAAAAAACACTCTGAGGAGTGGAGTTCATGACAATATGCTGCCAATGAGGATACCAAGGCTCAGAGACTGGACATTAAAGCTCAACATCAAATGGGCTGTGCATGTTGGAGAAATATTTAAATAAAAATCATCTCTGTCCCAAAATCGGAGCACTGACCCACTCATTGATCCCTGAAGCTGAAGACAGGACTACAGGATGAGGAGGCGATATTGCCCAAGGAAACAAGGGGTTTGAGGAGGTAAGAATGATTCAGAGGTTTGTTTCCAGGAAGATGGGGCTGGATGTTGTTGCAAAAAAAATAAAAGTCTGTGAATTGGGCTGTGATAGAACGAAAGCCCACACTCTTGGGCCATGAGAGGAGTGATGTTTCCTTCCCTTATTTCACTGTATTTCTCCTTTGTGCTCATTCTCACAATGACCTTGACCATAACTGTACAATTAGACATTGAGCGTGTGTCTCTGCTGATCTGAGCTCTGCAGGCAGCAAGAACCTGCATCTTCCATGCAGCATCTGGGCCTGGATGATCAGTGTCCATGGTGAGGACCCCACAGGGATATTCTGATGTGTGGGCTGAGGATGAAGGATACCTCATGGGGGAGGATCTGAAAAGGAATGATGGACCCTGGGTCACCTTTACCTGGAAGGGGCATTTCAGGAAGACACTGGGTGTGTCTGCTGTGAAGTCTTGTCCCTTGGTAAGATGAGTCCAGATCAGGCGGACAATGTAGATCAGGGGAGACACCATTTCTATTTAAAATGTCTCCAGAGAGCCTGGTACAACATCAGCCCCAGGCCTTGGGAGGGGCACTTCCTCTTCTTGTGGGGCTGCTGACATGACAACCCCATGACTGGGAGGACCAGTCTCTGAGTGTTCACAACTCGTGCATCTGTCTTTCCTTCCGGGTACCCTGGTCTCCTCTGCCAGCATACCAGAGGAACCCAGAGGAGACACCATGACTTCTGCCCTCATAGCTCTCTTCTGCATTGGTGAGATTTGAGGAGGAGGAAGGGAAGCCCCAGTCTTAGAGGGACCCACCCCACAGCCAGGACCTGGTCTGTCAGGGGACCTCAGGACTCAGGAGGCTCATGGGGAGGAGGTGTTCTGCTCAGCTTCAGGGGCAAATCTCTCACAGGGAACTCTCTTCCAGGGTTGAGTGTGGGACTGAGGACCCCAGTGCAGGCAGGTGAGTCTGTTCCCTGGTGTCCCAGATCCCAGGTCCTCACTGGAGACAAGAGACAACTTCCAGGAGCTGGGGAGGGAGAACAGCACTTCTGGGCTGAGAGATGGGGACTGTCTGGGATGGTCTTGTGGGAACTGGGGAACTCAGGGTGGCGTGGGGAATGTGTTGTGACCCAGCTTCTGACTTCCTTCCAGGGACCCTCCACAAACCCACCATCTGGGCTGAGCCAGGCTCTGTGATACCCAGGGGGAAGCCCGTGACCATCTGGTGTCAGGGGACCTTGGAAGCCCGGGAGTATCTACTGTATAGAGAGGGAGTCTCAGTGCTCTGGGACAGACAGCAACCACTAGAGCTGAAGGAAAAGGTCAGGCTCTCCATCCCATACATGGCAGAGCAATATGCAGGGAGATATGTCTGTTACTATATCAGCCCCACTGGCTGGTCAGAGCATAGTGATAACCTGGAGCTGGTGGTGACAGGTAAGAGGACGCTCAGGGGTCCCAGCCCTAGGGTCTACCCTCAGGATGGGGGTCTGGTCTCAGGGATGTGTCCCCTATCTCAGACCAGCTGTGGGGGATAGGAGGGAGTTGTGAGCCCCATTTAACACGCTGCCTCCTCCTCTCCTAGGAATCTACAGCAAACCCACCCTCTCAGCCCTGCCGAGCCCTGTGGTGACCTCAGGAGCGAAAGTGGCCCTACAGTGTGGCTCATGGCTGGGATTTGACAGGTTCATTCTGACTAAGGAAGGAGAACACAAACCCTCCTGGACCCTGGACTCACAGCCAAAGCCCAATGGGCAATCCCATGCTCTGTTTCCTGTGGGCTTTGTCACCCCAAGCCACAGGTGGACATTCAGGTGCTATGGCTGTGACAGGAACAAACCCCAGGTGTGCTCACGCCCCAGTGACCCCCTGGAGTTCCTGGTTCCAGGTGAGGACGTCCTACCCTTGCCCAATCCATATTTTAAGGCAACAGACAGGGGTCTATACTCCAAGGATAGCCCCAGATGAGAGGGTGGGGTGAGGGCAGCAGGGGTGTCACCTGGAGCAGAGACACACAAGGTGAGAGATAGTGAGGCCTGAGGTCCAGGATGGAAAAGGGGGTTTATGGGAGGAATCAGCCCTGACAATCTACATGAGGTTTTTCTCTCAGGTGTGTCTGGGAAGCCCTCCCTCCTGAGCCAGCAGGGCCCTATCGTGACCTCTGGACAGAACTTGACCCTCCAGTGTCTCTCTGATGTCAGCTATGACAGATTTGCTCTGTCCAAGGAGGGGGGACATGACCTTCCCCAGCACCTTAGCCAACAGTCCCAGAATGGACGCTCTCAGGCTGGTTTTCCCCTGGGCCCTGTGAGCTGGTCCCATGGGGGCCAGTACAGATGCTATGGTGGACACAAGCTCTCCTCCAAGTGGTCAGCCGCCAGCGACCCCCTGGACATCCTGGTGGCAGGTGAGGAGCCAGTGGATTCCATCAGGGACCCAGACTCTGCACAGACTCTTCCAGGGGGAAAGCTCCAGTTGGTGATGCTGGAAAGAAGGATGTGGGGTTCCCAGAGAGTGATGGAGACAGAGAGATGGGATGGGTAGGGAAAGACTAAGAAAAAAAACAGACAGAGATGATGAGAGTCCTCAAAGGAAGGCCTGGGGACTTAGTTCATAACAAAGTGCAGCCCTTCACCGACACTTAATCTCTCTAGGAGAACTGCTTGACAAACCATCCCTCTCGATGCAACCAGGCCCCACAGTGGCCTCAGGAGAGAACGTGACCCTGCTGTGTCAGACATGGAGCCCGAGGGACACTTTCCTTCTGTCCAAGGAGGGGGCAATGGATCCCCCACTGCGTCTTAGATCAAAGTACCAAGCTCAGCAGTACCAGGCCCGATTCTCCATGAGTCCTGTGACCTCAGCCCACGGGGGGACCTACAGGTGTTATAGCTCATACAGCACTGCTGGCCACCTGTTGTCACACCCCAGTGATCCCCTGGAACTCGTGGTCTCAGGTGAGGGGCCCTGACCTTGTCCTTTCTGAGTCACTCAGCTCAAGGCCCTGTCCCCAGAAAGCTTTGGACTGGGATGGGAGTGAGGGGGCTCTGAGGAAGGGGCGCCCAGAGAGGGATCTGCCCTTCAGAGTGTAGTAGGGAAAGAAGGCTCTCTCATGCCAGCCCGTTCCCACATCCTCATCTCCAGAATCCTCCAGGTGGGCAGAGGGAGAGACCCGGGGACCACAGGGCAGATGCAAGAGAAGAGTGTGGACAGAGACAGGGTCTCTGGAGAACCTGCACACCCTCATGTCCTCTTGTCCTTTCTCACAGGACCCTCTGGGGACCAAAACCCCCCAGTCACAGGGCTCAACTTAACATCTGGTGAGTCACAGGGGCCTCTGTCCAGAGAGTTCACAGTTTCTCCAGGCTTGTCTTGAGACTCAGCTGACCTGACTCCTAGTTCCTCTCTCAGCACAGCTTGTCTGCAGGGGGCTGGGAGTCAGGCAGAGATGGGGGATCCACCGGGCTCCAGGGCTGTTAGGCTGGGTGGATGGTGAGTGGGGCAGTCACGGCAGAGGGAGATGTTGGGGTCCAGCCTGGGGGAGGGGCATCCTGGCTGAAGTGGGGAGAAGAAGCCCCCCTCACCTCCATCCTGATCCACAGGAGGCCCTGAGGATTTACTTTTCCCAGTGGAGTCAGGTGTGCAGTGAAATTGTATGGGTAGGAGAGGGGCAGGACAAGGGTCTGGGGCATTCAGGCCCTTTCCCTTCACCTCAGGGTGCTCAGATGGAATGGAAAGTACAAGGTCTGGAATCAGCACCTTTGAATTCTGGTCCTAGCTCTGCCACTTCAGGCTGGGTTTTCCAAGATGTTTGATTTACCTCTTGGTGCCACAGTTTCCTCATCTGTGAAATGAGTGGGTGGGAGTGGAAGCCCTATGTTGTGGTTGATTGTTGGGAGTTAGAGGAGATGAATGCACAAACCCCAGCACACGCCTGGCACACAGTAGGCACTCAATTAAATAGCATCAGTCACTCATTCTTGACATCACTGGTGCCCAAGATCTCAAGTGGTACCTGAAGGCTGTGATCGGGATCTCCGTGGCCTTCATCCTGCTGCTACTCTCCCTCCTCCTCTTCCTCCTCCTTCAACGCCAGCGTCAGGGCAAACTCAGGACATCAGGTGAGTAGGGAACAGGGTGACCTGGGTCAAAGGAGCAGGTGGGCTTAGGGCACTAGCCAGAGGGAAACCAAATAAACGGGAAAGTCAGCCTAGAAAAAGACTTTTCTAGAATCTCAAATCACAAAATACTATAGAAACACTTGATACAGCACACATACACATTTAAGATACTCTTCCACCTTTTCAATTTCATGAAACATTGAAACATACAGACAAGTATGTGTCAAGGTTTCCTTCTTTCCTCTTGAATCACATGTGGAGGGCGGGTGGTCATCACCTCCCAGGGCTGAGACTCTGTCCGTCTTGACCCAGCCCAGAGACAGGCTGATCTCCAGCTTCCTTCAGGGGCTGCAGACCCAGATCCCAAGGACAGAGGCCTGCAGATCAGGTAATTCCTGCCCTGAAGACCGCAGACTCCCACCCCGCCCTCAGCCCCCTCTCTGCCCCTAACACTCCCGTCTCCTCCCCCAGCTCCAGCCCAGCTGCTGATGCCCAGGAAGAGGCCCTCTGTGAGAGGAAGAGGAGGGATCTCCCTGGGGGTGGGGACAGAGATTTCAGTGGGCCATGGGGAGATAGGCTGGGAGGGTCTGGGGATTCGGGGTGAGAAAGACTGAATTCTGAGTGACTCGGGCCATCTCCACACCCCTGGACCTCAGTGGCCCATCTGGGAGCAGAGGGGCCTGCAGCCCTGAGAGACCTCAGGGAATCCTGACAAGAGACACACCCCTTGTTCTGCCCCAGCAGATGCTGCCGTGAAGGACACACAGCCTGAGGAGGGAGTGGAGCTTCACCATCAGGTGAGACCCCTGCCCTGTCCAGGCCACCAGGTAGCTTCCTGTTGCCAAACTTAATCCATGGGACACCTTGCTGTCCTCACGTCACCCGGCTCTCAGCAGCGTCCCACACTGACCTCTCCTCTCGGGCACCTGGGTTGTCCTGCTGTGACTTCACTCCTCCTGGTTTCTATGACCTCGTGACCCCTCCTACATGGTCTCCTTTCTTGATTCCTCATCCTCTGTCTGGCCTTCTGGTTGTTGGACTCACCCCCAGGTCCCAAGAGGATGCATGAATTAGTGAGTCACCCACAAGTCCCCTAGGTTCCCCTTCTTTCATTCACCCAACCGTGTGCACAGGGAGCTCACTGTTTACCTGGCTCCATTCAGGTGCTGCATCTACAACAGTGAGAAAAACTTTCTCCACAATCCTTGAGCTCACCTCGTGGGTGAGAGACGACATGAAAATATGTGGGCATGGTCCTAGAGTGCACAATGATGTTAAGGAAAATAAGTAAGGAAAGGGGATAGAATGCTTGGAGGGGTAGAAGGAACAGCAGGTTCAAGGGTCCTGATACAGCAACATGCTTTTTCAGGAAGATGGCCTGCGTGACTGGAGCCAAATAAGTGAGAAATAGCATGTTAGGATAAGAATCAGGACATCTGGATGCTATAGGAAGCATCCAGATGTGCAAAGCTTAGGAAGTCCCTGAAGATTCCATCAGGAAAGTGATCTCACTCTGGCAGCAGTGTAGACAATTGATTGAAGGACGTCAGTTGAGAGATCTAGGAGACAGTGTTTCTAGCCCACTCTCTCCCTCCAGCAGGATCCCAAGGATGAAGATGCCCAGGGAGTGATGGATGTCCAAGTGAGCCACTCAAGATCAAGGTGGGGAGTGGCCATCTCTCCTTTCCCCCTATCAGGGAAGTCACTGGACATGAAAGATAGACAGGACGAAGACGACAGACAGAGGGACAGACAGGTGGGTCCCATCCTTTCCTGGACCCCAGGCTTCCCCCACACCAGCCACATACCTATACCCTCCTCTCCCCCTGCTCCAGGCTGCTGCATCTGAAGCCCCCCAGGATGTGACCTACGTCCAACTGAACCACTTGACCCTCAGACAAGAGATGACACCCCTTTCCTCCCAGTCAGAGAAGGCCCCAGCAGAGCCCAGTCTGTACGCTGCTCTGGCCATCCACTAGCCCATGAAGGACCTGGACCCCACATTCCAGGGAGGCAGACTGCAGAGACCCCAGAAGGCACAAGATCTGTCCCCAGTGGACACTCAGCTAATGACCCCCTGCCAGCCTGGGCTCCTAACATGGACCACCAGGAGCTTCTGGGACTCTTTGGGACTCACCTGATTCTGCTGTCATGATAACTGATATCCTTGCATTTGGGGAACAAAGCAGCAGACTTCTCATTAATCCATGAGAGAAACGAGAAATCCAAAACAGAAATGAGACCCTGTTTTAAATTGAATGATTATGTAAATATTTCACATTAAACCTACAAAATGGGAAAATTAAGAATCACAGATGAATATTAGAAAAGGATTAAAAAATCAATGAACTAAGCTATCACACCAAGACTTTAGAAAAAGAATAGCAAATTATTCCCAATGAAGGTAGAAAGAGGGAAATAATAGAGACAGCATTAGCTACTAAAGAGGGAAAATTAAAAAATAGAGAAAAATCAATAAAGCCAAGAAACCTCATCTTTGAAAACATTAATCACACTTATAAATCCTAGTCACAGCACTCAAGGACAAAAGAGAGAAGACACACATTACATCATCAGGATAGCATTACAGATCCTACAGACGTTCAGTAGATAACAGATAATTATGATCAATTTTATGTCATTGTATTAGAAAATGCAGAAGAAATGGACAAAATGCTCAAAAATACAATTTACCAAAATGATGGACATAAAAGTAAGTAGAAAATCCGAATTATCTTATATATTAAATATGTTGAATCTCTAATTAAAATTTTCCCAAAAAGTGAACTCTGAGTCTGGAAAGCTTCACTGGTGAATGCTTCTGAACACTTATGCACTTATGAAATACACACATACACACACCTGGATACACACACAAACACACATGGACACACATACATATATACACATAACAAACTTAAACTTCTTTCAAAAATAGTGAAGGAAGCAATATTTATCACAACACATTTTATCAGGTGAGAAAAAAAGCTGATATGAAAACCTGACAAGGAAACTGCAAAATGGGAAAATCCCCGGAGGCTCTCTCACAGCATCTTAGCTGTAGATTCCTAAACAAAATATTCTCAAACAACACTAAGTGATATATAAAATGGACGATATATCATGACCATGCTGGTATGTTTTTTTCAGAAATTCATGATTCGTTTCATATTCAAATCATTTAGCACAACCAGAGGCATTCACAATTAGAATAAACAACTATATACTGGGCAGCTTTGGGAAGAAGAAGAAGGAAAAAAAAAAAAAGATTGACAACAGATGTTAGCTCAGGTGCCAATTTTTTTAAAAAAAAACAAATCAATCAATACATTTCAAACATAAAATGATTAATATAAAAATGATAATAGCATCAGATTCAAAACTTCTGATAAAATACCTCACCATTTATAATGGAAAAAACCTCCTCGTCAGCAAAAGGGAATTTCCTATCATTTATTGAAACATCTTTAAAAATCTACAATAGGAATAATTTTTGCAGGTAAAATCTTGAAATCTTTCCACTTGCGATTGAGAATGAGACAAGAATATTCACTATGGCCTCTTCTATTCAGCACAACTGTAAGAATCAACCAAATAAATAAAGCAAAGAAAAACCATGATATCCACTGAACAGATGGAATTAAAGCATATTACTCATGGATTACAAAATTTCGTACATGGAGAATCCAAAATAATATGAACATCCATTAATTAATTTGAAGAGGATTGATCCAATGTCACTGGATACATCATCAATATATAAAAAAAATCAGCAGCATTTCAGACATCCAGTTTTGGACCAGGAGGAAGTAGCAGTATGTCTCCCTAACCACCCATAAGGCACAATAAAACTCCTGGACCTCGTATATACAAGGAACATGAGAACACTCCAAACAGTGGAGAAAAGACAGCAGATGGGCTAAGACTGTTAGGACCCCAGGAGTGACAGAGCGGGTGTCAAGGGAGCCACATGGGGGACCTGGACTGTAGCCTCCACCTGACAATAATGAGCCAGTAAGAGCGAGACAAGAGGATCAGAGTCAGCAGTAGGAAATGCGATGACAGAGTCAAGAGGTTGCAGTGATGGAAGGAAGGGCTCAGGAGCCAAGCACTACAGGCAGTCTCTGCAAGATGGAAAAGGCCAGGAAACTGATTCTCATGGCAGATCCCCCAAAATCAACCACCCCTGCTGATACCCCAACTTTGCCCAGTGACTGATTTTTTTGATTCATCCTCAAGAACAGTAAGATGATAAATTTGTGTTGTTTAAATCCACTAAGTTTGTGATAACTTGTTACAGCAGCAATGGGAAACTTAGGCAGCCACTTAAGCTCTTTTAATTAATGTTTGCATAATATATTTATCCCTTCACTTTTAAACCATGTACATCGTTGTATTAAAGTGAACCTCTGGCAGACTGAATAGAGTTGGTCATACTTGTTGTTATTCCAACCCTACAATCTCTGCCATTTAATTGCACTTGCACCGTTTATATTTAATGTAATTATTGAAGGTTCTTTTTTGGGTTTACCATTGTATTGTTTCTTTTCTGCTTGTTCCCTCTATTGTTTGTTCTTCAGTTTTCCCTTTCCTGCCTCTTTTGGCTTTTTGGAATACTTTTTAGTATTCCATTTTAATTTATCTATCGGTTGTCTAACTGAAACTCTTTGCATGTTGTTTCTTCAGTGGCTGTTGCAGGTATTATAATTTCACGTCTAATTTCACAGAGTCCACAGAGTGTTAACATTTTACCTTTTCAAGAGAAATCTAGGAGTCTTTACATGTATAGGTCCTTCCACCCTCACCGCTTTGTGCTGTAGTTATTCTGTGTTTCATCTTCACACATTAAAACTCTACCAGACAATGTTATCAGTTTTGCTTTCAACAGTCAAACACGTTTTAAAGATCTTAAGAGGAGAAAAATATGCTGTTACATTTACTTGGATATTTATCGTCTTTTGCTCTTCATTTATGCTTGAATTTTCAAATTTCCCTTGAGAATAATTTTCTTTCTGCCTGAAGAACTTACCTTATATCTTTTAGAGCAGATCTACTGGCAACAAATTCTCTCAATCTTCCTTCCCCTCAGAATCACTTTATCTTACTTCCATTCCTGAAGAATACATCCAGAAAAATTCCTGGTTGTCTCTTCTTGTCTCTCATAATTTTAATATCTTCAGACCTTGATGGTTTCTGATGTGAAATCTGTAATCGTTCAAGTCATTTTTCCTCTGAGCGTTTCATGGCATGTTTCTATGGATGCTTTCAACCTTTTTTTCCTTTGGTTTTCAAAAATTTGATTATGGTTACAATGTGTGTTGGCATGGTTTTTAAAGCTTATCCTATTTTCTTTTGCTGAACATCTCAAACGTATATTTTTGTGACTTTCAACAAATCTCTGAAATGGTCAACTACATATTTCTTCAAATATTTTTTCTTTGTTAATATCATCTCCTTTTGCTGGGAGATCAATGGTATAAATTTTCTTGTACACCCCTGAGTCTGTTAACTTTTTAAAGTATTTTTGGCCTCCAACCCATGCTCTCGCCCAGTTCTTGGGGAAAGAACTCACATTATGAGATGGAGAGTTCTGCCCAGGAGAGGAAGTGGCACTGAGGAGGCAGAAATGACTCAGAGGTTTTGAAGGAAGGCAATAAATAAAAAGATAGAAACTCATAGAAACAAGAAAGTCAGTCAAGGGAAGTGTTTATGGGTAAAAAATCCACAATCCTGGCTCAGGAGGGAGGGCCATGCTTTCTTCTGAGTAATGGTAGTCAGTATTCTAAGCATCTCCCCACGCCTCCTTCTCCCCCAGGGTCATCCTGCCTGTGAGGGCCCCACTGGCTGCTCCAGGTACCAAGGCAGAGAGTGGAACAGCCCTCAGTTCCTCACTCTCTTGCACTTCACATCCAATCATCAAATTCACACCACCACACCCCTTGTGTCCTTCCTAACAATATCCCTTATCTATTGCAAGACTCAGGACATCTCATCTGTGTCATCACATCAGCCTCCTTCCTGGTCCTGCAATCCAGGCCCCCACTCCTTTCTCCAGTTCATTCCCCTCTCTGCCTCCAAAGGACTCTTCTAATAACCCTGTCTGGTCTGATCCTGCCCTGCTCAAAACCCTTCCAACAGATTCCATCTTCAAGAAAGATTCAAATTGAACCACCTGATGTTCAAGATTGACAGTGATCAGGCCTGAACCAAACTCAGCAGCCTCAGCAAACACAACTTTCCTCCTTAACCAAACTCATCATAGTTAACCACATACATCCACAAACACACACGCAAACTGAGCTATTTAACAATTCTCTGCCTTCCTTGGGCTGCTCCCTCAGCCAGTCTGCACCTAGCTGGCTCCTTTCCAAGCTGAGGGAACAAGAAGCCATCCTGTTTCATTCCATTCAACTTTAAATATATTTTGTGTTATAATTTTGCTCAAGGGAAACCACATAAATGACTTAAAATACTGATCAACACACCATCCAAGGACCAGAGTAATGTTGGAGTTTTATTATCAATAGAGACTTCCTGCATTACATTTCTACATGGTGGTAGTCATTCTAACACAGAAACCTGTTCATAACGTCTGTTTCTTGAAATCTTCCCATTGCCTTAAAGATAAAATCCAAAATACTTGCATAGTGCTCAAGATCTTGTGTGACAAGGCCCAGGCTTCTCCGGACTGCTCTCAATTCTGAGAACAGTTCAGGTCTTTCTGGGAGAGGATGCCACCACCATGTCTGGGCTAACCTCTGCTCATGCCTTGGATCACCGCTTCCCCAGAAGGACCCAACACAACCAGGACACAGGTTGCAGGATGACTACCTGTTAGTTAGGATCCTCTATTATCTAATCTCCAACCATCAAGAACTTATTCCGCATAATACACGTCATAGTGTATAATTACATACAGTTTGTGATTAGTTATTTGATGTCCATCACATCCCCAAGACAAGTATGGATCAGAGAAAAGGATCCTTGTCAGTTAAGCACATATTTTAATTTTCATACTTAGCACATTGTGTGAAATATAGTTGACATTTGTAGATAAAATTTCACTGAATGGGTGTATGAGTGTAAACGAAAACAGAAAAAATCACTTATTTCATACACATGGACACACAAACACACACACACTCCAATATTCAATAAATCAAGCCAGCATCCACCCCTGCTGACTTCTCTTTTAATTTCTGTAAATTCAGTCCCTCTCTTACTTTCCTTGTCCAGGATTCCTCATTTTCCAATCCACGCATCTGAGACATAGCCAAAAGTTGATGAACCAAAATGAGGCAATCAAATAGAAAGCAAAACCGTACAAGTGGAATTAACTACATAACTGATGGGGCACTGTGTAAAATGAAAATGCAAGGCCCCATGTTCATATGTCAAGATGCTGACAGCAGAACATTAACCCAGTTTGGAGCCCTGTCTGGTTGTGCAGGTCACCACCCATGAAGCCAGGTCCCCATAAAGCAGTGGGTGACTCGATTACAGCACACTGTGTTACAGACCAGCATTTTCTGATTGCCTCCTGGGTGCCAGGACTTTGGCTGGGTGCTGCACACATTACATCACCGAGTAGTCACCACATAATTATTAGCTTGGGGTCATCTTCTCCTTTGTAAGGATGATCTCAGGCTCATGAAGTAATTTATCTAAAACACACCGGATTAGAGCAACCACCATCTTACTTGTAGTTTTGTTTCCTAGTTCCTGTGCATTCCTGATCACTCCTCCTAACTTGGTCCTACCCAAGCATTGTGCTTAGTATCTGGAAGTTCCCCCACCCCGCAGCTTCATAGTTCTGGTCTGTGTTTCTCTGAAAGTCTCTATAATTTCAAGGAAGGAAGCTATGTTCAGGGGGTGCCAAACCCTGAGTCATGGTGATATGGATTCCATTCACAGATAGAAAGTTGCTGGAAGCTTGAACTTGAAGAACAGACCCAGTATCCCTAAGCTTTGGTGGCGGCATCAAAAGGGGAGATAATGTTTGAGTAGTAGAGAGGTTCCAACAGAAGGAAAAGCTCCAATGACAGGCTCTGCAATAAAGATACCCCCAAAACAGTAGTTCCTTCACTTATAGAGCTTCCTTCTGGAAAAGAGAGCAAAGTTAGACCCCTTGAAAAGAGACTCCCAATCCCTCCAGGGCTCGCCCTGCACCTAGAGGCCAAGTTTGCCAGACTTGTTCTCACAGCAATGAGCATGTGACCCTCTATACCTGGAAATGAGGGATGCTCTGAGTTCCAGGATGACCGGGCACATTGAGATACCAGAAAAACATAGCAGTCTCCAATCACTGAACATGCACAATGACAGCAGGCATTGCAAATGTTCCCAACGGAAGGAGTCCCTTGGGTGATGGTGACAGGTCAGGGGCCTTCAAAGCCCACTCTCTTACTCTCTGCTTTTGTCCTTAGTCCAAACACAGGCCTTTGTCTCCAAGTGGAGCCCATCTGTACCCAGTCCCCATATGGTGCTGTATGGACTAGACCTGGGTCACAGAGCTGCTGAGTATCACAGTGTCCCCATAGAAATATCTCTATAATAATGTTTGCTACCCTTCAGATAACAAGGAGACATGTACTTATGAAAACTTTTAAATGCAATAAATAATTTGAACTTCTCGTAAATATTAGAAGGATGTTACTAATATCATCCACATTCTCAAATTGAGGAAGTTAAAGTTCAGAGAACATGCAGCAGCTCAGAGTTTCAGAACCAAAAAGTGGAAGATCCAAGAATAAGCCATAATTCTAGAGGCTAGAGCCCAGCCTTGAAAATACTACACATTTCTACCTTGTATTAGTTTCCTGGGGCTGTCATGACAAACTACCACAAACCACGTAGATTAAAACAACAGAAATTTATTCTCTTACAATTCTGGATACTAAAAATCTGCAATTAATGTACAGGAAAGCCATGCTCATTTCATTGGTTTGAAGGAAATATCCTTCCCCGCTTCTTCTTAGCTTCTGTTGGGCCCAGGCTCTCCTAGGTTTGGGTAGCATAACTCCAGTCTCCACCTCCATCTTCACATGCCTGACATCTCCTTGTGTGTCTCTGTCTTCACATGGCATTCCTTCCTATGTGTCTCTTCTCTTCTTCTTAAAAGGACATCTGAAATATTGAATGAGGAATCACCATAATTCAGTATGAGCATCTCTTAACTTGATTACATCTGCAAAGACCCTATATCCAAAAAAGTCATATGTACGGGGGCTGAGGACTTCAGCCTATCATTTTAGGTGACATAATTAAACTCATAACAGTATCCAAGGGAAAATATAAAGAGGAATGAATTTATTACAGGTGGTGCAATACTTATACACTACTTTTCTTTTTAAATCTGGCGAAGAAAATTTTAAGACCTACAACAACAGAGAGACATTCAAGGATCACGGCTTGCAAGATTT